AAAATAACTAATGTTCACTTAATCGACATAGTGTTCCTACGAAGCCAAATAAAAAAAATCTGCACTTTTCTACTTAGGCGAACCAGGTTTTTCCTCCGTTAAATAGCGATTCCTCACACAAGCCGAAGTAATCGCAAGTTTTCGATTTCGACTCACTATCTACATCTTCACCCGAAATATTCATTTCATCCAGTGAACCATCAAAGTAGTTAGCACGAAACTTAATTATTGCGAGTGAAAATCCCCTCTATTTTGATTTTTCCAGTGATCGCGAATTTGCTTTACGCGATTTTGACCGAAGGATAACAGTAAAACAAAATTTTACAAACCGAACAGTTTGACGGAACGTTGATTAAGACAAGAAGACCCATGGAACTTGAGAAGCGTCATTCTTGGTCACTTGGTTGATGCAAGTCTTCCAATTACATCAGATCCCGCCTTTAGAGTTGCCTATCATGTGCCCTTCACCTCTAACGCTGTGTTCCCACACAATGGCCATCACCTTTTCACGCCAGAAATATGTACACAGAAGCAACAGGTCCAAGCTATCCGCTTGTCCTGGCCCCAAATTCGTCACCATCATCGCCACGCTCAATCGATTTCACCCTAACTTGAAAATTACAGACGCTTAGCCACTTAATGTAGACTGCGTCCCCTCGCCCCGCCCCAAATAACTTTTTAACTCAGGATGAAAATATGACCACACTGATAACAAACCCTTATACGACTTGCACAGACAGGATTGTCCTTCTTCGGACGGTTGCAGTGTGTTCATTCTAGGATTGGATGTTTAACTAAGGGATTCACAATGGCATGAATTGAACTTATTTTTTTACCACCGATAGTTAGTGGATTACCACATCCCGTTCGTCTTTGAGTTTATCTCGTGATGGTTTATTTGAAATACACTGCTGGGAACTTCATTTTATGAGCTTTAAATCTCTTGTTTCTTTTGTGTTCCAGAGTCAATCCTGTGATCTCTCGCTATTCGTCGGAAAACATCATACTCTTTTTCTCTCCTTCGCGTTTCATCCCGAACTTGGTTTTCTGACCGCCCTACTTGTATTCGCTGTCACCTGGTTCGATCATATCCTTGAACAAACTGGTTGCCACTTTGCTATTGCTTCGACTTCTTTCGACCGGTGATGTTTTTCAGCTATTCTCACAGTCAACTATTGCATTTCCCCTCACTGTATCTGTTCATCATTACCCATTCATCTACCTAACCTTATTTTTCCACACGTCCGGTCTTTGGGGTACTCGTCTTCCGTTTCGGTACTTATCATTTTTTGTGGTGCATTTTGGCTCTTATAGGTACTAATGGACCGTGTGAAGAGAGCGTGGAATTCCACCGCACATTGGACGTGCGTGCGTGTGTTCATTTTTGTCCAACAAGCACGTTTCTGATGCTCTGTTGAGATTTTTTCTAATCAAGTGAAAATGCCCCTATGGTCTCTCGCGTTGTCAGAGCCTGTCAACTCTTATGTATGAATAATACCTTGTCCTTTTATCCCGCGCGTCTCTTTTGTGCGTAGCAGACAAGTGTAGGCTTGCCCACACGTAGTCACAGTGGTCGTGAGGTCGATTTGGAGGCAAGTGTCTGATCGCGTAGATCCTACGGCGTTAGTTACTCGTCCAAAGTGCTAAACACCCTATCCTTATTGCTCTACGATGTATTGTGTTGACAAACACTCCCTAATGTGTCTGTGATGCTTTCTTGAGGCGAAGGGGGAGGGACAAAGAACTTGCTTATCTTGTGGCCATGTGCGACAGCATACTCGTACTTCAAGTCAAGTCAAGATGCCACATCAATTTCCCCATACCGAATGCATATTCAACTGCGACATGATCACTCTTCTGTAGTAGAATTTCCAAGGTAGTCACAAAACGAATGATAAAATCACTGCATACACAAACGAATAAACAAATTCTGTGAGGTTTAATTTTAGACTTTCAATGACAAGAACAGTGTTAGCAAGAAACCCTGCCAGATACGGTATTGTATAAGAAATCTATTTTGCAGCGCATGCTACTATGTGCTTATCTGTGGAGCAAGTGGTGGGTGTAGATTATACATTTGCTAAGATTTGAGTACACACGTTGAGACGGGTCAAGCAGAGTATCCTGATAGAACGTATCTGACAAGCATTAGATTACTGTGGAATTAAGAAAATGCACTAATAATTCACGAGTTATTTCACTGTAGTAACATGCGTGTCTGATGGATCGTCCTAGGGGGTTGGAGTCTTTGATAAGAAAACCCTTGAAGATGACAGATGTGTAAAGCCAGAAAACAAAACGTATTAATTTGTTGGGGGGTAGATAGCACTTGCAAACAGGGAACGTAAATCATGAGTTTTTGACTGAAATGTCTCGGCCACATGTAGAAATCAGGAAAGATCACTAGAACTGGTCACTTCGAGTTATTTGATGGAGTACTTTCTGGAAACGTTCTTTGATAACGACACACTGACAAGAGTTCATTACACCAAGGCATTTGTCACCCTTCAGCGAAGAAGATAAGACATTTTTACGCCTAGAGGAAGTCATACAGAGGTTGTTGTTGTCGGTGAGCGCTGAAACGTTATGTACAAGCTTGGGGTACATGGAAGAGTTTGGAAACTTCATGTTATACACCAGATCATCCGCATATTAAATGAACAGCCAGGCATGAAAGAAACATCTTTCTTTTTCAATTTACTTCCTTGTTATTGAATATACACCGATACAATTTTCAGGAAGGGGGAAGCGGCCAACCAAAGGGTTGCATTTAGCACACAAATGGGGAAAGTCAGGTGGTGGTGATGGGATTCGAACACTCGTCCTCCGGGGGTGATAATTTGGTGACGTTACCACCGGGCCACCACCACCAAATATGGATAGAAAATGGGTAGGGAGGCAGAATAGCAAACTGAAGAACTTGAGTGGAGGGTAGATGTGAATGACTATGACCCCTATACTTGGCAAACAGTAGGAGGTGGTGGGTGAAATAATTATATAGTAATTATGATGTTTTCACGGATTCTAATGCTTGCATCATGGAAAGTTGAGTAGCCTGGGTGGGATTCGAATCAAGGAAGTAAAATGCTCTTGACGCGAACCAGGGGAAAGTAACAGACGAATATTATAAGGTCAAGGAAATGACACTCCTAAGTAATAGTAGAATTATCTGACCCTTGAACACAATAATATCTCAGTTTATATATTTGAATCACTTTCCAAAACCGGTTTCGTTAGACTGAACATGTTCCTGTCTTCACTCTGTCTCATTTTTTAACATTTCTATCAATTTACACATGAATGGTGACCTTAGTGACCTTCTCTCTAGATGTCTGCTATCGGAACTCCCTTCAGCTTCCATTGCGTTAACGTTGGTCGCAATTAACAGAAAAATCGATTGATCCTTCTCAGACTGGCTTGCACCTCCACAATTAAGGTCATGTTGTTGCGTCTATGACAAACGGTTCCATGTTGATCAGCAACACCTCACTTATTTCTTCTCCTGATCCTGCATGTGTTCACCAGCAAACGCACGCACTCAGCTTTCGATCAATTCTTCAGTCCATGGCCTTGATCAAAGTGCTGTGTCTGCGTTCTGTCCCAACGGCGACGACTTCGGTTTATCCTTGCCTCATTTGCTGCAAACGTGATCCATTTGGTCTCGACACGATACAAAATTCCGGGGCTTCAACCTACACTACCCTGCGGGTGGAACCCTTGTATTGGTGGTCCCATCATGAATCCCTCTTGTATGTCCCAGCAACCGTACTCTCATTACAACGTTTTCCCACTATATATGATCCTACGAGCAACAGTGACTCACCTGCTTTTCTCGAGCACACACCTTACAGTCTGACTTTGCGTCGATTGGTTACCATAGTGCCTTCAACCAGATCTGTGTTTGGCGCCTCTCTCTTGTTATTCAATAACTGCTTATTGATTTTTCGGTTTCGATCGCCGCTTTCCATACCAATGCCGGTCGGAAAATTCACTGTGGCAAACGGAAGACTGACCCAAGCTCTACTCTGGTTAGGCCGTAGTCATGTCAAGTGAGACATGCGAATCATAGTCACCGGACCAAGTGTGCGGATTGGTGGCTTAAGTATAAAACGAGGCTATCACAAATTTGAGGAAAATTCAAACACCGTGGCATACGTTCGAATTTGTGCGGAAAATGTGTCAGTATAGGAAGGAAGCCTATTCATCATTCACCTACAAAAGTGTGAGAGATACTTCCACTCGTTCTGGGAACAAATTAATTTATTTTGCTTTGAAGTTTCCTAATCGCGATGACTTTCAGTCGAACAAGTTTCACCTCAGTGATCTCACACCAACAACCCGAACATGCCTTTTTCAAGGTTAGTTTCCATATGAAGCGGCCAGTTTTCGCGAATGGCGACGCTTGCATGTGTTCCGATAACTCAGATCTGAGCAGTTCAGCCAAATTATATGCGCACTGTCACAGTCCACTTACTGAAGATACAGTTTTCCCGTCAAATTTGAATGAAAAATTCGGACACGGTTTTGCGCAATATATCCAAAGTGATTTGTTTATAATCAGTGACATAATAACCGTGATACACAGAGAAGCTCCCTAATCACAACGGACAGCACGACCCAGCAACACAAAATAAAACACGACCGGTGAAAGATCAAAAAGGTTAACTTTTCTTCACCAGACAGGCGGTTCAGGGGGATGAGGTGAGTGGATTCGGATCATGGTTTACCGTTTGACCCACTTTCACAGCAGTGTGCTCCTAAAAGATTAAATCATTCGGTCTATTTGGATTCCATCCAATAGTGAAACACGTGTATCGATCACGTGACTTATGCAAGCGTTTATTGTTCACTCGGAAAGAAATCCGACCAGCCAATCAAAGCCTAGTTGTCTACCTAGCATTGTCACAATCCATATAAATCGTGAATTATTGGGCTGAGAGTTCGTAGTTTGAACTGCTGGTGTATAGGACATTCGTAAAACATAGTTGATTGCTGTGGCCATGGAGAGTGAAACTCAGGTAAGTTTGCTCGTGTAACCGTGGTTTCAATTGTTGCGCTTGTAGTCAAGACAACTATGCAGGAATGATTTGCATAGTGTTTTGATGACGGAAACGGAATATCTGTTGACCGTAATGAATGTGATAACTAACATATTTGGTCAAATGTTTTTCTCGCCATTCAGATGCGATGATTTTATTCCTCAGAAGCATTCCAGTGACCACTATCGTACATGATTTGATACGATTGTTTTTGCATAAGATGGTTTCTACCTATAAACTGATGAGACTGTTGTAATTGAACTTTCCGATGAATCGATTTCATAGGGGATACAACAGAGCTGAAATAAAGGTTGAGGTTTCGTATTTGATTTACGCAACATATAGTTACTTTTATATTGTATGCCTCTTATACAAACAGATGATCTTAAAATGCTATTGTATAGTCAAACCTTGACTTGTGGGCACTATTTATAAGTTGCTCACCAAGTTAGGTCACTTCGTTCGCCCAAATAACGTCCTCCATGCTTGTGTAAGAAGTTGACTTCTCTGCCCAGATGTGTTTTGAATCAGTGGTTCATTCTGTCTTTCACAACGGAATGATAATTAAAAAGAAGACCCTCTGGTACACACCCAGTTTTGCACTTGTTCTGGCTTGAATCTTTCTTCTACGCTGTGAATGTGTTTTAGCCAAGGGTATCGTTGAAAACCGGGCCGGAGTAACGAACACTTGAGACTATTTCGAAACGGCTAGTAACAAGCACATTTGTGGAGGATTGTATCATTAGTTGACTGATTGGAGTTTGAGCCGTTGGAATTCACTCATGAAAGCGATATAATTTCATATCTTGCTTGAATTCTGCTTCACGTGGTACCAGTTGTTAATGATCTCGAGGTTACTGTTTGAAGCTTGATTGTTTTTCTTTTCAACCTACTGGGTTTTTTTTCTTTCAACGTTCTCCACTGTGTGCTGCTGCATACTCAATCTAGGTAGCCTAGTATATTTCAGATTAACTTAATTACTTAACATACTGTTTACTTTAAACTTGCGCATTGGTATCATGGCGATTCTTCGAGAAGCAAACTACATTATCTTTGGCCGGTATTGTTGTGGTTCTTTAGCCACCTCGAACTGGGTTACAAAGTGTGTTGAATTTAAAGCTCAGTTGGTTTTTTGGCACTGCTTGGATTAGACTGATTTAATTTTGTTGAAAATGATGAAACGATTGCGCACCACATGAAATGAGTAAAATCAATTCTTCTCCGATTGATTACACAATCAAAATACTTGGGAACATAAGCACATCATTTTTTGTTTGTGAATGGTCTGTACTGCTTTCTCTTTTAAATCTCGCGGCCTTATTTCTTACAGACGTCCTATGGACGCTATAAAAAGAAGAGAATTTCGGTATTCAGCTTTCCGTTTAGTGAACGTTGAAATCAGCTTTTTCATACTCACCGTATTTCTTTTATACAATGATGCCAGCGAATAAGATAAACCAATCAGTGCCTTGCGTTTAATTAATGTTTTTGCGATAGAAAATTCGGTAATTCTGCACTGCCACCTATTACTACCTACGCAACTCTGTAACCACAAGAAATCTTGCGTTTTCATAACAAGAAAATATATGACAGTAATAGATGATTTGGTTTGATTATATTGTGAATTCGTCGAGCTCAACCTCAGTTAATTGGACAACTTCTGGTCTCCTATGACCTTAAGCTGTCAACGCTGGAGAGGTCACCCCTGCAAATAAACACTAGAAACGATATTTTACTGGTCTAAAAATCCCGCTGGATTGATGTAGGAGTGGGGTACTTCAAGCTTCTTTCCTATAGTGGGATAAGTCTTCGTACTTCGTTGGACAGTTGCCGACACCCCGAGCTGAGTAGCCTCCAGTCAATAAGGTGCAAACCCGTTCACGTTTCACGTGTCTCATTGGGTGCATGAGGCCAAGGGACAAAAGAGATCAGCGGATTGTCAATCGATGCAGCAGCGAATAACGCACAGAACAAAAACCAGAAAGCCTTACATGTTAGGCCCCTAGAAGTACCTACTCGGGTGCTTCGGTCACTCTCCCACCTCAGGTCTACGCTGTACTGCCCCATGTGTCAAAGGTTTCGGTTAGGGTTTCGAAGGAAAAAAAACCCATAGTCTGGTTGGGGCTACCTGGCGGTATACCGTGATCTAAAATCTTTGTCACCTATTTGTTACCCCTATCTTGTTACACAGATTGACTATTAATCTATTAGTTATCTGACTGGAGACCAAGAAATATTCAGCTCGGCTACTGCGCTCGTCACATGTACACCCTGTTCGTTTTAAACGATCAGCTTTTGTCTGGTGCTCTTCGGTCGCCTAAGGCGTCTCAAGGCTGGTGCAGCTTGTTATCCACCAGCAGCATTCACTGGAGTGGGTCGGGTGCATCAGATCAGAAAGACTGTTGAACGAGTGACACATCAAAGCATGGCTTACACGGAGAGGAAAAATATTCAATAGTTAGATAAACAGCTCTGGATCACCCCTGACTGAGTGAGACCACAATCGATGTTTTAGTTTCAACAGGCAAGTCAGAAGACAAATACTGCGAGAGGAATTCCTTTCGTATACTCTCATCGGTCGCGTACGTATAACATCGAACAGGATAGACAAATGAAGCGAATTAAGAAATCTAGTTAGCATTGCCCATGTGTGTGGTTGTGTGTGTGTGTGGAAGTGACGGTTCTATCCAACGATCTATCTTCCGCAAGAAGACTTGGTCCGGGCAGTACCACGATGATGATTGTTACTGAGCACTGTAAATGTCTTTCATTTCCCACAGGAGGATGATGCCCCACAATTTGTGGAATCCCAACCCACAAGTCGTCCAGGCAGCAATATCCTTTCCTCGGTTGAAATCAGAAGTGAGTCAATTTAATAAATTTTTCATTTTGTGTCGAATTTTCTAAGATAACAAGGAACAATCATCACCTACAAATAACATGTATTCAAATTCAGTGATGTTATGTCACAGTGCTTTGAATGCTTCATAATTGAAGGGAAGTTAAAAATGAATCAGATAGTTCCGCTTACGGTGAACTAAAACCCTCTGCACTAATTTGCATTGATATCATAATTTGCGATACTTGTACAATCTATTTTCTGGAGGGGAGACTGTGGCCCATTCAACGCCCTCTGGGTTTATACCGTAATCGGATAAAAGGGGGTGGGGGGAGCAAAGTAGTAATGAACACAAATTTCGTACCGTCGTTTCCATTTCCTGAAAAGCTCCACGACAACCGCATAATCACCGTAACCAACCAAACGAACGCCAGAGACCACAGAACAGCGAGAAAACCCGCAGTTAGTTACAAATTATTTGTTGAAAGGAATTTTGCTCCAATAAGTCGATGCCTAAATGCAAACTGTTCTTCACATCTCTCGTAGGTGACCAGAATTCACGAAAATGGCTGAAAGTACTACTTTGTTTGCATATATTTACTTAGTGGAAAACTTCACTTCACCCTCATGGATACTGAAAGCTAACAATGTCGCGAGAGGTTAATATTACGTTTAATCTTCTCAGTCGTTGATGTAAAACAAACAAGCACATATACAGATAGACAGGAGTTGTTAAAATTTAGAACAAAGATGTATACTCCAAGGCAAACCAACTGACTGCGTCAACAGCTTGTGGGCGCACGAAAGGGATGTCTGTCTGTACACGTCCGTTCATCAGGATATACCAACCCACTGTGTTAGCTCTGTGCTTGCCTTACGTCAGTGAGTGAGAAAACTAAACAGAATGTCAACATCTAACGACATTTATCTTGTTTCGGTCTCGATGCGATGAACAAACGGTGTGTTTCAAAATGCATAAACCAATGATAATTAATTCACCATTACATGCCAATCTGTCTCTTATATGTACGATTTGAAAGTGGCAGATGCTGATTGATCCTCTCAGTGAAGCAACAGCAATGCATGCGTGGTGGTTCAACTACGAGTGAATCCCCCGTAATATCAAGTGAATTCGTTGTACTCTCAACTGAATCCACAGTAACTTCAAGTGCATTCAACCAATCGCATTCTATGGGGACTCCACAAAGGGATTGGTTCTTCTCTCGCCACGTCACCGACTGGACCGGGTCAATCAAAATCCCATCCGGTTGATTTCTCCGTAGGTAAACAAAAGTACAGTGCTATTTCTCCATCGTTTCACATCATCTTGTCCCTCTCATCCGTGACCCTAAACAATTAAATCCACTCTGACCCTCTCTGCTATCTGATTGGATCATTTTCTGCGATTTGTGCAATTTGTCCATTTAATCCTTGATTCCTTTACCCAACACGAGACTGTCTGATCGCCGGTTCGTTATGTTTGTGACGCTCTTTGTTGTCACTTATAATCCATCCCTGACCTCTCGCTCGGGGTAGCTGGATAGGCACCACGTCCCCTGTTGCAGTTGAACTATCCGACCGATCGATGAATGAACCCGATCTATCGTGTGACGTAGGGAAAGGATGAGTTATGAACCCGACGCTGTTAAACTGTTGGTAGAGAATCATAACAGGAGTATCAGTAGTGGAGCGATGCGTCATCTGGGAAATTCGGAATGGAAAAGTTTAAGCGATGATGACATTGGGCCAACGCTAAGATACAGGCACTAATTTTCTCAGCGGACCCGGTTAATAGATAATCATAAACCTTTGAACTTTTCTCAAGTACGGATTGCAATGTCCACTAATATGGGCCCATGCACAAATCTCCTAACTGACTGCTTTGCGTTGTACGATCTTGTTAACTATGTTAAATTTCCGAGTTAGATTTCGGGAGGGAACAAATATTATGAAAAAATGAATATTTATTTGTATGGCGATTATGAAAAGTCCAGTAGCCTCGGTGGCATTGGAACCCACGCATGGATGCCGCCTGCGCTTTGTACTATTTGAAATATTAAACTTGCCTTAGAAGCTCATTCGGTGGACTCCAGTGAATCCTGAGGAAAACCTGTCGGGGCAGTCAGCTTACATGCTAACTGGTGGATGCCATATGTCTCTGTAAGTTAGATGGGTGATTCGAATGTTAAAAGATCAGTGCTATCAGTTTGGCCTCGTAGCTTAGCTGATAGAGCGTCCTCGTACAAAGCGTAGGCGGTGTCCATGCTCCTGCGGGTTCATAACTCATCCTTTCCCTACGTCACACGATAGATCGGGTTCATTCATCGATCGGTCGGATAGTTCAACTGCAACAGGGGACGTGGTGCCTATCCAGCTACCCCGAGCGAGAGGTCAGGGATGGATTATAAGTGACAACAAAGAGCGTCACAAACATAACGAACCGGCGATCAGACAGTCTCGTGTTGGGCAAAGGAATCAAGGATTAAATGGACAAATTGCACAAATCGCAGAAAATGATCCAATCAGATAGCAGAGAGGGTCAGAGTGGACTTAATTGTTTAGGGTCACGGGTGAGAGGGACAAGATGATGTGAAACGATGGAGAAATAGCACTGTACTTTTTGAGTGAGTTACCGAGCTAGGATGAAAGTTTTGTGGGATGGGTTCAACTGTTCATACCCACCCGCACCCGACCGGGTTCTGTGTCTTTGACCGTTGATGGTGTGAACTTTAGACAAGAATGAACATACCCGGTGGTAATTGGCCTCGGTCGACCAGGTAGGGAAGCGAATCACGTCAAAATGGATCTTTCAGGCGTGAATGTTGCAATGAATCATTGCATTGGTTTCAGATTCAGGTTTTACAACCATTAACTGTGCAGTTTTGTGCTCCAGTGGGTTCACTATGCGCCCTCAGTAACCTAGTTAGTAAATTCCATTGAGGCTGAGGTTCATTCGAATATCACCGCTTCCTTTGAACCAAATGCAATTGTCTACATATTTCTGGCACACTTGACAAAACGCAATGAAAGAATGAACAGTATTTCATCTGAATAGCAAGATTAAATTTGAACTCGTTCATTGACTAACAGAAATTACATTTTTTATCTGTAACCCCAGAATTAACCATTGCATTCTAATCATCATGTCAAAGACAACAACCTTTCACCCACAGCTTCTCCTTTTGTTACTCATCTTCGTCACATATTTTATCATGCAAATGGATGTTTGGCAGATTTGAGCTTTTCACAATCGCCATAGAAGCACTTTTTATCATCTTTGTATTGTTGTTGTGTTGTGGAGTTGTGCTATATTGTATAAATGGAAAATGAAAAACGGTCTGATCAGCGGCCCGGTGGCCGAGTGGGGCGCACCCTTGTATTTGGCTTGTGAGGTCCCGGGTTCGATGGGTCGATGGATTCACACTGCTGATGAGACCCAACCAAGTCGAAACTGCTTTACGGTGCTTCCTATCTTTTCAGTTCACGCTTCATTCGCTCTATACACGATGAATTCCTTCTATATTCGAAATATAGAGAATGAACCCTACCTATTCCTTAATAATTGACGAACGTTGAACTACCGAATGCATTTTTGTCGTTTCTTCATCATGAACTGGCACTGTAAAATTGGATCATTATCACATATTTTTTATTGCACAACTGAATGGTATTCCTAATTGTTGTTTTGGGGTTCCATATGAATACTAAGCATGAAGTGTCAAACGTTTCACGTTTGTCCTTTTGGGATAATAATAAACCCCAGAGGATTGTAGGTTTGTGTAACCGCTTAAAGTCATTTAATTGCACAATGAACTATGACTTTTTCAATTTAATATGTCCGAATATCTATTTAGTGTTACAATATGAATTTAAGATGTCCAAGTATCACTTTAAAATGTCATGTTACTATGTGGATAGTAGAATAGTGCGATTGCCCCGTCGTTTCACATTGTCTTTTACATTTTGTGATGCACTTGTTGTCACGTCTAGTCCGTCCGTGTGGTGAAGGCACGCCTGCTGTACAGTCGAAGTTCACGGGGACTGCGTAAGACTCGCCGCTGTAAACAAGGTGTGGTTTCTCGCTCGGGTTAGCTGGACAAGCACCAGGTCCCTTGTTGCGACTGTACTATCCGACCGATCGATAAATGAACCCGATCGGTCCTGATCGCCGGGCCGGCGGATAAGCACTGAATTCGATGCTGATATTGGTATTATTGGTAGAGAATCACCACAGAAGAATCAATTGTGGAACGATACACCATGTGGGAAATTCGGAATGGTAAAAGTTTAAGCGATGACAACACGTGCCAACGTTTGACTCATCTAAGATACACGTAATATTTTTCTAAGCCCGTTCGGCAGAAAGGATAACCATAATAATAAAACTTGTCTAAAGTACGGACCACAAGATCTACTAATATAGACCAAAACAAAAATTCTTATTGGAGTTTTACTAACTGGCTTTTATCGCGTTGAACGATCTTGCTAACTACGGAGGAGATAGAATTCCGAAAGAAAGAAAGAATAAATATTATGGAAAAGTGCATATTTATTTTATCAACGGCGAACCGAGTCGAACACAATGAAAACAGGAGACGAAAATAATCAGTGGAGAAGAACATATATAAACGAACGGGTACAAGCAGAACACTGCCACTTTACAAGCACTGATGATTTCACCACGGCTGGTGATGAAACATTTGCAAACGAATTGTCAAGCTCGGCGAACAGGCGAAATGGAGTTCAATTGGTATTGTGCATCCCGAACGACCCCTGGTTGTTAGACGTCAATCCGGATAAGACTACCCACCCCCTAATCACCCGAACCAGTGCGCATGTGTGAGGTCCGAGGTGTGAGCAACATCCGGTCATGGAACTGGAATGTTGATTATCTCTTTTTCAACTTTTCATGATTTCTCCCCCCCCCCCTTCTAAACAGGTGGGTATAAATTGTGATGTATTAGCCTGTAGAAGAATTGCCGCAAACGAGCTTGTCCGCTACTTTGTGTTTTCTTACAATGGGTAGTAATAGTATAAGACCAATTCTCAAGATAAGCTTATCAATGCACCGTCTCATTGCCTGCACTGCTGCGAAGCTGCAAACCTTTGTAATTTTTTTGCTGCGTTCTATGTGATTCACATGCCCCCGCTCCCTCCAGTGTGCCCACAAATCGAATCTGTCTACACTTTACTCCGTTGTCCATATTGTGCATGTTGATGCATCCGTCTTGCACAGCGGTGTGGACGTTTGTCTTTCCCTTAACTGAATAGTGCTTATTCACGGACGCTCAGTGAATCTTAATGCCCCAAGTTTCCAATATTCTGATCCACTACCTCCCCCGTAAGACCCATTTTACTTCACTCGATGATACAGCCCTCATTTGTGCAAACATTGATTCTGCTTTTTACGGTAGGAAGCTTGGATTAGCCCATTCGATTGTTAAGAGGCACCAGGCACTCTTGGGCGTGGATTTCACTTCTTTGGGAGATCGTTAGTTCCCTACAATTTCATGCATTTACATGCAATGGAAGTCTTTGTGACAACCGACAAACAGCACTGGACAGCTGTTTCGTCCTGTTTGGGACTCGTCAGCGGTGCGTACTTTTTATGTCCCTGTCAGGACTCGAACCGCGAACTTTCGGGTTGGGACTTCAAACGCTGACCCCTGAGCTACACGATCGACGGTTATCACCTTGTGCGAATGGTTCAATCAGTTTTAGAGTACGTAGCTTGGATTAGCCTATTCGATTGTTGAGAGGCACCAGGCACTCTTGATGCCTGGTACCTCTTAACAATCGAATGGGTTAATCCAAGCTTGCTGCTGTAAAATTGATTTTACTGTATTTTAGCCTGTTATTCTGTACCCATTCTTTCTATTTGAACACACAGATGCTTCCCGTTCTCTTAAAGTTTATTGCCTGTAAGTAAACTGATCATATCGTGATGAGCTGTCCATCCCCTATCTACACAGTCTCCGCCCCATTCCAGGCAGCCGAAATGAACTTCGTGCTTAGTCGTTACCCTGCTCCGTTGTACTGAACATCAGCAAGTGTGTTGATGTTCCCTTTAGTATCAAATTTTGCCCCCCCCCCACCATTTCTAACTTTGGTAATTAGTCACCATCATTTTATCAATAGTTAAAGCATTATCGAACGCAACTCTTAAATACCTTTGTGTTGCTCTCATCAATAATCCTTTATAATCCTCGTGATTGCACCTTTTGTATTGAGTTTTGCGCCTAAGTTTTTCGACGCATGTGACTGATCTATTGATAAGATGATTGGAGGAAGTAACGCTCTATCAGTAGCTGGGGCATTTATCAACCGAATAAAGCCAGAATTGTGTGCATAAAAAGCAGCTTAAAGCACCCATAGTTTTTGACCGAAAAAATGGAAAACATTTCGCGTGAACAGACCGATGAACCGAATCCATTGGTAACGGTTAGGCAAATTGCTCATGTCCGAACTATCAAACTAGAAACCAACTTGTCCCTCCCCGCAACTCTGGGTCACCAGTAGTTGACCCCTACCGTTTGAAACCACCACATCACCCCTTAGTATTGTTTTCTTAACTCAATGTGACTGTTGTGGGTTGAGAATGAAATTTATGAAAACATGTTTTGACTAGGATAAAGGACTCATCTTGAGACAGGATAGATAGCTTGTAGTGAAGAACACTGTCTTCATCACAAGATTATACATGCCTTGTAGAATTCCCGAAAGCACTGCAATTAGCAACTCCTTTCCACAAGTTGTAATTCCACATTCATAGACAGTACCATTCCGCATCTTGTCGGTCTCCATGTGCGACAACTGTCACCTACCTCAAGAACAAATTATGGTAGTAGAATTTTTTCTGCACCACAATGTTGTATATATTTTGGTACATAGTGCTTCCCTTGACTTTACGTCACTTCATTTTGGATGTGACTGATAACTTCAAATGTGCAATTTTCTGTCGATTCGATCTGTCCAAATCATATGTTTTGTTGGCCGTAAAAAGGAAGTAAAGTTTCTTTGCATATTTTTCTGACCGAAAACTTTTTGCGTGCAACCCATTGGATGATTCTACTTTCCTGGTTTCGAGAAGTTTTCCTTGTGCTGAGAAATTTCACCAAATGATTAGCAACTCATTTAGGCATTACTTTTCTAATCAGACTTGTGAGCGTTCGGGGTAGATGGGGGGAAGGATTATGTGGTTCGCAGATGTGAAATAAATGCATGCTTCATTAAGCGATCAGACATTTGGTTAAACATAACTCCCAGTAAGTTACTATTTTCCAATTTCTCTTTTTTTCTGAAAACGCGTTACTCCTGTTCAGGTTGTTTGATCCAAACCAGTCCCATAAACAAATGAAACACTAACAATAAGTCTACTTATTACCCTTGTTTTCAAAGTTACGTTGGTCTGAAAGATTTTGCGATTACTTACGTGAACTGAATAATCGGGGGTAAGTGAATCTACTAGGACCGATCATTTGATTCCAGTTTGGCATAGTGTGCATGAATAAGAACCAATTCTTTTCCCTGAACGTTCTGATTCGACACAACAATACAGGCTAACTTCAGTTTGTTATCGCTTTGTGTCCACCTTACCCGTCTCCCTATTTTTCATCCCTCCAATCTCCCCTCGCACCCTTTTTCATGTGGTCAGAATTGTACGAGTCCGTCGTTTCAGCCAGGTCCAGAAAAGTGCCTCTATCTCAAATATCTCGTGCTCTGCACTTGCTCAGTCAAGCACCAACACAAGCCACCCTCCAAGCGATTTACGATACCTACACTCCCGAAAATCTTCGAGAAGGAGGTACGCAGTCCTGTTTTTTGACCACAGTTATTCATATATGTTTATCTGGGATTCACATACTTTATTAGTGATACGCTTACTAACTATATCGAGTCTTGTATGTTAGTAAAGCCAGTTCAACGGTTTTTTATAGGTGACCAATGACCGTATACATAAATATGGAGAGGAACACATAGACTTGGGGGAAATGGGCTCTTATTTATGTGACAACAGCTGTGTAATGGAATTGTAACACAATTCTATTGCTTGCTATTGTTTCACGATATTCCGCATCAGTCATTCATCTATTAGGGAACCACAATCCATGAACTGAAAAATCAAAATAACAATTTAAAATTTTTTTGATAAAATGGTGATTGAAAATTGGTAGCAAAGTCACAAATTTTATCAAAAAGAAATAGAAGTTTATTCGTCCGTGGACTGGAGAATGGGAAGTGTGAGAACAAAAGAAATTCGGAGTGTTGATTTTTTTTTAAATCGCGATGCTACCATCAGTGTTTGTGTCGGGCTTCAACTGAGTTATATAATACTGATGAACCGTTTGCTTGAAACTCGATATGAAAATAGATGCTCAGATCTTCCTGAAAGCAAAACTCGTATTATTGCAGTGTTCTCCTCCAACGACCACCTATCCGCAAAGTACATTGTTGCCGTTACTAAGTTCGTTCGTCGCGTGATGGCAAGTTTTTGGCACAAGTCTCTATCAATGAATAACAACCGAAGGATGTGAGCATTGGATAGCTGTTTCGTACTCCGTCATCAGAGTGTCCCTACCGGCACACAAGTATCCAGGGTTCTTCAAAGGTTTGAATTCTCTTCGCATTTGCAATACATTAGCACGCGCCGGGTCAACGAATATTATTCAATGAGTCAGTGTAGTATTTGTAGTACGTACCTATGAGGAATTACGAAACCCGTATCAAAAATCACGGACGCCACGTAAGCACTGAATCACACTGGCACTTGCACGACGTTAGCCGACGTAACCAAGACGCAAGGAAAAGGCCACATGAGTAGCAGTTCATTTATTGGAAGAGATCATGAGGTTTAAATAACATGTACAAAACTAGTTCAGTAGCCATCCAGCCATCTTCCAATCGCGCACTCGTATTCCTGGTGTCGTACAGCTTTTGTTTGGGCAGATGGCTTCTGATTGGTCTGTACAATCGGCCTATGGTTCATAGGCTGTGGAAGCAGTAACATGTAGGCGCTTTGTCAGCGTCACCTGGGAAGCTTGACTCATCACAGTTGTTCGGAAACTGTAACGTGTCGCCCCGTGGTTTGCGTCATCCCGTAAGCTAGGATCACCAAAATCGGGTTCAGAAAAAAGCAATACATGAGTGTGTAAATTCCTATGAAAATACAGCAAAAATGTTCATCGCCACATAATGTCGCAAATTGGTCTTTCTTGAGAGTCCTGAAAGGGGACAGAGAAAAGGAGAGAGTGAATGAGGGAACTTAACGTTGGACAAAGACAACAACGACCAATTCCGTTGCGTTATATGATGCTATGTGATATAGCATGATGTACGTCAACATTTTTACGTCAACAGAACGAATACAAAATCGAAGACATTGCTTGAATCCCCCGCGAGTACTCTTTTTATGGCCATAAATTGAACGAATGGAACTTCATTCTTTGTTGGAGTAGCTGAATTCTGTCGGATAAATTAAGCACACATTTGTCCGAATATTCAGACGTTGCTAAGGGATCCCAGTATGAATGAATAATCAATTGGAAGTCACGCTTATGTGAATTACTGTAGCATGAAACGAAGTGGGTGGGTTGTAGATGGATTCTAACTACTGTAATTTCGTTGTGGTCCAAAGTCCAAAAACACGCACGAGTAAAAGTATACGTTTGATAATGGCTGACATTGAATTCAGCAGCGTAATTGCTGAATCCCCATTAAAATACTACTAACAATGTGAATGTTCCGGTTATGATGCGGTCAATTCATGGCATGCTGCTTATCGTTTCTGATAGTTTTTTTTCAGTGTGCCACATGTACCTTCTCCATTTTGCAGAAATCCCCTCGATTGCATATGATGATTTTGCCAAAATTGTGCGAGAAAACATGATGGATCGCGATGAACGTTTGACCGAACTGACAAACGCCTTCCTTGTACGTAAATGTCGATTGATAAATCGATCAGGATTATACAAATGGTTAGAGTAGGATGATTTTAATGTATAAAAGAGATTCATAAAAGTTCTACATTGAGTTAACGTGCTGAGAGGTCAAATCACGCCACTGATCACTCGCATCGGGCGTCACGTAACTGGTTGGCTTCGCTATTGACCCTACCAGTATTGACAGGCCTAATGATTATTGACATTTATTTCACTCATTGACCCTGTAAATCATGTAGACACAATTACAGTCATCTCGTTTTAGTTCAGTAACTTGTGTTCTTCGCAAACCAACGGTGTACGGATAAAACAGGTAACTTTTAAACTGAATGTTTTTTGACTAACAAGAATCATAGTTCGCAACGTTAGTTTATTCGGTAATAGTGGGATCGATGGCGCTATTCCAATCTGTTTCCTCGATATGATATAAACCGGAGACAGTTTGAATCATTGCTATAAAGTTTTGGAGCCGGACGTGGGCATGACGTAAAACTCGCATTCCTGTATCTTCAATTAGAGTTGGTTTTTGTTCCCGAACTTTAGTTTGCAACCAACAGCACTTCAAACGGAACCATCGGGCCACAGTACTGCATCGAACTGTTATGATGAATGGAAACTTATTACAACTTCCCTCCATCAATCCACGGCACACATTTCACCTTGGATTTCTTTAACCGAACATAACGCATCTGTTTGGCCTCAATAATTCACTCCATGGGTGGTATTCAGGTCAACCTTGATCATGCTATCCGTTCACTGGATGATAAATTTGGTTTTATTGATTTGTTTAAAATAGTTTTACTAGCGAATAGTAAAGCTCACAAGCAGTGTCGTTCGATTGAACGTGCTGTCATATTCACACGTTTCAGTCCAAATGTATATGGGCAGCACCCTTGTGTTCTGCCCATGAAGTCCCGGGTTCGATCCCCAGTCTGGTCGATGGATTCGCACTGCTGATGAGACCCAACCAGGTCGAAACAGCTGTCCAATGCATCCGAGATTTCAGTTCACGCTTCATTTGCTACATACACGACGAATTCCCATTTGAAATTTAACCAAATCCTCCATTACTCACATGAAAAAAATGTATACTATTGGGAACAGTTCAAGTATCGAAACTTTCTTCGAAAGTCGGCGAAAATCCGTTTTT